ATGTTTGTTATTATATTGTTTGTAGATTTGGATATTTGAGGCCTTTCCCGCCATGCAGACATATGCATTAAAAACTTCTAATGATATTCCTAGGGCTATTTCCTGGAAGAGGAAACGATCCTTGCAGCAATGGAAAGATTTACTATCGTATACTACAATAAATAATGTAAGTTAACACAAATACTACCATATGTTTATAAACAAGTTATTACTAGTACACGTTTAACTTTGTTTGAGCTTTTATATTGTTAGGAGGCCAACACTCCATTACAGAGGCTGACAGCCACGGAAGCTAAGCTTGCCACTGATTGGTGGCAAGCTAGTAAGTGTTTTTTTGATGGCACGGATGATAAGCAGCCACCACTTTGAGAGCCATCACCCCAGAGCCATCACCTGATCGACCCGAATATACACCTCCACAATGAGAGTCATCACCTATTCTGTCACATCATCGAGCCTCTTCTCCACCATCACCTCATGATAGGCGACCGGTAAAGATGTCACGACGTTTATCTCCATGTTCTCCACCTCCACCTCCACGGGATGAGTTAGGGGAGTTACGTAATGAGGTCAATACATTGTGTGAGGAGGTCAGTACTTTACGCGATGACAATGGTGCATGGCGTGTTGAGGTGTCTACTTTACGTGGTGAGGTAGCAGCTCTACGTGAGATTGTAGCATCGTTGCAGAACGAGGTTAATACTCTACGCAACGACTACGCAACGAGGTAAGTTTAATATTTTTCATATTTAACTTGATGATAAATTTACTCGTAATTTCACTTAGATTGCTTAGTAAATTCATTCGGTTGATGCCAATATTGTTTAACTGTTTATTCTTTAACCCTATGAAGTTAGAATTTGTTTTTGGTTGTCTTTTGGTTGAAGTAATGCAATCCATTCAAGTTTCAATTTGCAGAAGAAGAATAGTTTACTATCGCAATGCAAAAATGACTATCGCAACGCGAAAATAACTATCGCAACGAGAGAATCGCAATGCGAAATGAAAATCGCAACAACAAAATCGCAACGCGAAAATGACTATCGCAATGAGAAAATGACTATCGCAATACGAATTTGACTATCGCAACGAAAGAATCGTGTCCGCTATTTGTGAGTACTAAAATATGATGCGGATATGTGTGCAAGTATACACAATCGAACAAGTAATAAAGTGATAAGTAGAGTATCGTCTCCACAGGGAATTGGGGAAATCAAATAGGTTTGTCAAGGCACTTTACTTTGTCACCTAAGTAAAGTTAGTTATGGTATATACAGATGAGAATGCAGTGGCAAAATGGAATGGTGATAGTGTGGTAGCAGATGGATATGTCGTGGCAAATTAAATTGTGATACGTGAAAACAAATGGAAATGTCAAGGCAAAATAAAAATACAAATACTAGATTTAATATATGTAGGACTTTAGCTTTCTCACATGACAAGCAGCAATGGAAATGAGTGATGGGAGACACAAGGAAAACTTAAGTCTATTTGTCTGAATGGTGCTTCTTCTCTGCTTACCCTGCCCGACAGAGTCTACTGATGTGCCCTATGCTATCTCTAGTAAGGGACTCGACAGACTAAAGATGCCCTGGCAAAACCGATTGGCGTAAGCCCAAACAGTGATCCTATTGACTCAGCTAATAGAATATATCTCGGCAATACCTTTTTGCGGCAGCATTAACATCTAACCTATCGTTTATTAAAATCCACTTCCCGATAAGATTTTACAGCCTTCCAGTATGTTTATTTGTGATTTTTTATACCAGCAGACCTTGATTTTAGATTTCTGTACAAATGAACACCACAAAGTCCATGAAAAACATATGGGAAACACGTTCTAACAGCGTTGTCAATTGAGTTTGCCCTATCAGATATGATTGTCAGATTGCTAATAGGACCTATGCAATCCCTAAGATGCCCCATAAACCATGTCCATGAATAAGAGGTTTCAGATTTGCCAACCCTGTAAGCTATTGGTAGTATCCCATTGTTAGCATCCACGGCTACTACTAATAAGTTTACTCCAAGGTATCGACCTTTCAAATGTGCTCCGTCAACTATAATAATTGGGCGCATGCAAGTAATAAACGAACAAATCTACAAAATAATATACACAATACATATAATCATTTAAATGTGAAATACATGTAACTAACAAAAATGAGTCAACAAAATTATATTGATTTACTAACCGCAGCACCAATGGCGATAAGCAGCAACTCAAAGCGTCCATCTCTATCTGTTTTGATATGAGTTACCGACCCAGGATTTTTTAGCTTTAAATTGTGACAATAAGCCGGCAGTTGGGCAAACGATGCTTCTGGAGACCCCCTCAACAATTCCAAGGCATAACATTTGGCTCTCCAAGCTTGAGAATATGAGATACTAATCTTGAACCGAGCATTCATGTCAGTCATAATTTCATGTCCCCGATATACCCTGTCATTCAAAAACATTAACTCAGCCAGAAAACCACCCAACACCTTTTTGTTTGCCTGTCTATGGTGAGGAAAAACTTGGGTTCTTGAACATGTATGTTTATCAATAGAAGTTCTAACTTGAAACATTTCACAATCTTTTATCCTCTTTGCAATCATACGCCATGTACAAATTTTGTCAATCATACACTTTGTTTCAAAACGATCTTTGCTTGATTTATTAACTTTTAGTTGATAGCCATCTTCCACACATTTCGTATACAATGATATCTTCAAGTCTTCCTTTGTATCAAAACAATCATCTTTCTTGATACGAATAACTTTTGTGTAACAATCAACTTCTATCTTTACCAACTATTCTTTCGATATCTGAAGTAATTCTGGCATATTCCAGTTATACTCCCGTGGCATTTTTTTCGGGGACTTTTCTTTGGGGACTTTTTCTTCTTCTTTTTCTTCTTCAGGGTTATATGAATTAAAGAATAGATGTTCAACATGTTCATTCACAGTCATAACTTCCTTCTCATTATTATCAACAACATCTTCCTCGGCAGCGGCTATTTCATAATCAAAATTCGGGTATTGACCAATATCAAAATCATTACGTGCAGGGTCTGTTTTTTTTTCTGAAACATCATCAAAATCCGAGTATTGACCAAGATCAAAGTCCAGGTATTGACTAAGATCAAATTTCGAATACTGACTAGTACTCACAATTTTTTCTGTTGTAATTATGGCATATTCCAGTTATACTCCCGTGACATTTTCTTCGGGGACTTTTCTTTGGGGACTTTTTCTTCTTCTTTTTCTTCTTCAGGGTTATATGAATTAAAGAATAGATGTTCAACATGTTCATTCACAATCATAACTTCCTCCTCATTATTATCAACAACATCTTCATCGGCAGCGGCTGTTTCATCATCAAAATTCGGGTATTGACCAATATCAAAATCATTACGCGCATGGTCTGTTTCTTCTTCTGAAACATCATCAAAATCCGAGTATTGACCAAGATCAAAGTCTGGGTATTGACTAAGATCAAATTTCGAATACTGACTAGTACTCACAATTTTTTCTGTTGGCTCATAATCATCTAACTGGTCAATACGAAAATCAGAATTTGGTGCTGAAAGTTGATTGGGATTTGGATTAGGAAAATGTTGTGGGTTTTGAGATTGCATTTGATATTGTGTTTGGTATTGGAAAAGTGGTGAAATTTGTTTTTCTTGGTGATGAAATTGTGGTGGAACCATTAAATTTTGAGGTTGATAACAACGTTGTACATTGTGAGCACCATAAACTGGGGTTGAAGAACTTAGTTGATTACTACCCGCTATTGACCCAACTTCACTAATTATAGGTTCAACAACATATAATGTAACATCATCTTCTTGCGAAACACTAATGTAAGCAATGAATCGTTCTACATCTTCATTGTCGGTTAACAAATAAACTTTACATTTTCTCTGATAAGATGGCCTAAATCCACTTAGAGGCTCTAAATTTAATTTCTTTGCAACACGTAATATTAGAGTTTCATAAGTTAACTTTTTTAATGACAATTTTAGTTGAAGATTCATGGGTAAAGGCATATATTGTAAAACACCATGAACATTCTCTCATGACCCTCCAAAACACAAATCTATCCAAACATGATCAACATTAGATGATTTCATTCTACAAATTGTAAATTAATTTACTAAACAAACGAGCTATAAACTACATATCATCACTAACTTAGAGAAAAACATACCTTTATTAAGTTGATAATTTGGGAGAGAAATCATTGAAAATTATATAGAAATAAAATTATGTAAAAAAATAGAGATAGGGAAGGATGTTGTTGGATATAGAAACGGATATCGCCGGAGAGAGTGATAGATGGAGATGGAATGAGTTGCGATTTAGGGATTTAGGTTATGAGTTATTGCTACTGCGTAGTTATATACCCAAAACATTTGTGTTGCGAAAATATTGTAAAACACCATGAACATTCTCCCATGACCCTCCAAAACACAAATCTATCCAAACATGATCAACATTAGATGATTTCATTCTACAAATTGTGAATTAATTTACTAAACAAACGAGCTATAAACTACATATCATCACTAATTTAGAGAAAAACATACCTTTATTAAGTTGATAGTTGATAATTTGGTAGAGAAATCATTGAAAATTATATAGAAATAAAATTATGTAAAAAAAATTAGAGATGGGAAAGGATGTTGTTGGATATAGAAACGGATATCGCCGAAGAGAGTGATAGATGGAGATGGAATGAGTTGCGATTTAGGGATTTAGGTTATGAGTTGTTGCTGCTGCGTAGTTATATACCCAAAACATTTGTGTTGCGAAAATAAAACCTGTTGCGAAATTAAAATTCGTGTTCCGAATTCAAAAATCGAGTTGCGAATTCAGAAATCGAGTTGCGAATTTGAAATTCAGTGTTGCGAAATTGGAGTTCGCGTTGAGAATTTGTTGGTCATTTTCGCAAATCCAAAAAAAGTTGGTTAAAATCGTATATTATAAGGCATTTTCGGTCACTGAAGTTATTTTCTCTTCCAAATATTATCCGGAGACAACGATATTCCAGAAGGTTGTGCAAAAGAAGTGGTTGTAGAGCTACCTCATTGACATGAAATAAAAATGTCAATGACAAATGGATGTAGCATATTGCAATGTATTTGATTTTGATATGCATATATGTATAATATGAACGAAATTTAATTATAAGCCAGGCAATTCAAGAAAGTAGATAAATACATAAAGACTAAAAACATGAAAAATGAAGTAATAGTTGCTCCTAGTATTTGTATTTTGGCATTACCTCGATCCATTTAAGTTTCTTTCATATCCATTACCACTAAATGCTCTAGTAGATCCATCTTGTATGTTATGCTCCCAAATTTGGTGCTGGCCAGCCATTTCAATGTAGACCTTCTCATGGACAGGGTCAAAGCAGACATCCCAGGGAGAGTTTACTTGCAAGGAAGGAGAAAGTCCAGGAAATTTAATGTAAAGTTAAATATTTATATATGCATCAGGGAAAAGATTAGCATTATTTAGATAATACAATAAAAAAATATTTCATGCATCTAACTTGAGGGAAGACATTGATTGAGTAGCCAATGAAATATTAATCAAGTTTGAAGTTCGGAAGGTCAAGGTATTGTAGTCTTGCCTGAGAGTTTCCTGTTCCACCTCGTGTGTAGTCGGAACCTTTCGTTCCATTTCCAGCAAGAGTTCGAACCTTCTCACTAACAAAATCAATTTCCCTACAATAACATCCATTAAAAGGAAATAATGAATTAGTGGACAGATAGGAATCTTGGGGAAAGAGAAAGCCTGAAAAAGTAAAGAAATAGATCTTTTAAATATGTTGTGCACAATTGCCCTGGACTTGATGAAATAATGCACATTGTACACACGCAATTAGAAAAAAGTAAAGTTGTCATTCTTTCACTATCTCGACGGACGAAAATGTGAACTTGTCAGGCTTTCAAACAGTTAAAACTTAGCAAGTTGCCACACACCTTAAAGCATGATTTTCAGTATCTGCAACATAAAGAAGATTCTTCTTTGCATTGTAAGCCAGGCCCTATAGAAATACAATGCCACGATTTTAACAAAGACAATGAAATAAAACATCAAGGAAAAGGAAAAAGAAAAAGAAATCAATGCTCTAGGCTGTCAACAACTGTTGAAGTAAATATTAACTTATCATCTGAAGGCGATCAAATGTAGCATCATCAAAGGAACCATCACTTATGCCCTCTTCTCCTGTGCTTACAATTTGGACGATGAAGTTACCATCTAGAACAGTTACCACCTGAACTCACGGTTTATAGGTGTTACTAAATGCTGTCACTTCATTGCGGTGTCACCTAGGATTCCACCATTTGATAAGATAAGAAAAGGCTCTAAATAGTTGGATAGCCTGATAATGCTATTTTTATCGGCAACTAACATTCTCTCTAGCAATACCGAGTACAGAAGTCAGAAGAAACTAATAAAACTTTGCAACATACAGATCAGCTAATATTAGTCTTCCTAACATCAAGAACTTTTTTCATAGGTGGCTCTTACTTCCGGAAATGTGCACAGGTGTCTTGTGAATGGGTGTGCACGTGAATGAACACTTTTCAGGAACCTGAGTACATATCAATTTGAATACCAGTGAGTCAGAGAGAGAGAAAACTTACTATGCGGTTATGGTTACTATCTGAAATGAAGAGGCGGTTGTTAAGAATATCTATTGCCAGTTTGCCGGGAAACTTTAGAGGAGATGTAAGCATGCGAGGATCATTGTCCTTTTCCAGGTTCAGTGGAAGTGGTTTGTTGTCCAACAACTTCTTTTTTGACCATAATAAAGAAGAGCTGCTTCCACTAAATAATCAAGATCCTTGAAAGGGAGAAAAAAGGGAAAATATTTAGCTTCATTTCTTGTTTATAACCAACATGAGAAATTTAGTTATTTTACTGCAACCATGTAACCGCAATTACAATAATGCTATTTTATTTCCAAACCTTGAATCCAACTTGATGCGACAAAGTCATGCTCATGCAGTTGATTAAGCATTTTCATGAATCCAGACATCCAATTAAAGTTGAACTACAATCATCTTATTCGTAAAAGGCTACATGATTTATGATTAAAGTCTTTATCAAATGAGTATTATTTGGAAATGAGAATCAAATAAACAGTAAAGATTTAATTTTCAGAATGGAAGATCCCTCAAAAATGACAATGAGATCGACAGTAGTTTCGAGTTCTCTCTATTTCTATTTCTTTGTCACTCCAGGAATCAATTCATATATTGTAAGGCAGAGCATGTTTCAATTAAGTGATAATCTTTGTAATGATCAAATCCACTCTTTGATTGAGATACACAATTGATGAAAAGTATAACACATTAACAGATTATTGAAATTGTGTGACACAAGTACGTTATAAGTTTTCAGAATAACCCTGTAATCAATGATTCACTGTCGCTCACTGAGCTACCGTAGTGCTAACTTAAAGCGCATCTTTGGAGAAGCATTTAAATATCCAGAAGTTTAGAAACTTTATCACTTGGGTTTTGAAGTCTTTTCAACCCTTGTAACACTTTTAAGTAAAATCTATTTATCTATTGCCAATAATTCTTGGATGGTAAGCAACAATGAAAACTATTCCGATGCCGTATAAAGCACCACTCATGTTCATGTTGTTAACCATTTCTTTGGGGATCTCCATAGTCGATGCCGATGAGTGCACCAGAAGTGGTGGATCTCAAATTGCGTACACCATAGTCGTAGACAAGTCCGGTGGTGGAAACTTCACCTCTGTTAAATCTGCCATTGATTCGATTCCGTCAAACAATGATCGATGGATCAAAGTTCACATTAATCCTGGTGTCTATGTGTAATTTTCTTTTCTTAAATACTACTTGTCTATGTACATCTTTCATCAGTTCAGTAACACAAGGTTCTTTCAGGGAGAAGGTAACTATTCCAAAAGATAAGCCTTGTGTTGTTCTTGAAGGACAAGGTCGTTCTGTCACGACGAATAGCTTTAACGAACGCGATCAAACGGATAAAAGCGCAACATTCACCTCCGTTGCAGATAATTTAGTTGCAAGTGGTATCACTTTCAAGGTCAAGCTTCAAGCCTTTTTTGTTTCATGTCCAAGTTATCAGATTCAACATATGTGTAACTGTTTGTGTTTACCAACTGTTGCTTCTATTGCAGAACTCCTTCAACCATCCATAGCTGATAAAACGTGCTCTGAGCTACGGACAAGTTCCTGGCGTGTTACCGCCGGTTGCAGCAAGAATTTTAGGAGACAAATCTGCATTTTTTGAGTGCGATTTCCTTGTGTTGCAAGATACACTGTGGGACGCGCTAGGCCGCCACTACTTCTCCAAGTGCTACATCGAAGGTGGAGCGGATTTTATCTTTGGTATGGGCCAACCTTTCTACGAGGTAACCAATGAGAAAGAACAAAGATCATCTCGTTGATTTGCAACACAAGCAATCAAAAACATGTTTCGTTATGTTTTTTTTTCCATAGGACTGTTCGATCAACGTAACTGCTGGTGAATTTTCTTCGGCACTTCGGTACGGGTACATAACAGCACAGGGCCGAAAATCACCGGAAGATCCGAGCAGCTACGTATTCAAAGGCGGAGTAATCTTCGGTACACTGCGCGCGTATCTAGGAAGAGTCTGGGGACCTTACGCTAGAGTGATATTCCAGGACACAATGATAAACGCAAATGTGATCCCTCAAGGGTGGGATTCCTGAAGATTCCCTGGAAAAGAGTAAGTTTTTACTAAATCTAGTTCTTAAACACATAATTTGCGTCTTAAGATTTGTCCAGTGATGAATTAATATTGGTGTTTGGGTAGAAATGTGCCAGTGCCACTTCATGTCAGGATATAGAGGTGGTCAAGTCAGCAGAACTATCCCAGCCATTCAAAAGGCCGAGAGGATCTCAAGAGCCAGAGAGAGCCCCGACAGGTCAGTTTAGCCGACCAGCTCAGAATGCGAGCAGAGGAGAGAGTAGGACCAGTCAGCGTAGGAGACCATTGTTTACCGTACCAGTAGCTAGTGCTGGAGGATCATGGATAGCGCCTTCTCAACCTATTTGTTCTATCTTTAGTAGAAGGCACTCAGGAGTTTGTAAATTTGGGCCCAGAGGTTGTTATCGTTGTGGGTCTCTGGATCATTTTCTCCGAGATTACTCAAAGGCTCAGGATGTAGCTCCAGTGTTGATCCAGCAGTCAGCTCCGCCAATTCAGAGAGGCAGATGGTTTCAGAAAGGAGGGAGTTCTTCTAGTCAGACTGGTAGAGGTGTCGTTCAGGCCAGAACTAGTGGGGAGCCCAGAGTTACAACCTGTCAGTGCGATCAAAGCTAGTGAAGAGGATGATGCAGTTGATGAGATCTCAGGTAAACTTACCCTATTCCTATTCCAGTAACTGTTATAGTTGACCCATAGTTCAACCCTTAGAATAGAAGTCTTAACAGTTGAAATTGGTAGCAGGTGCCTTGTCGAAATATCGGGGACTAAATTTCCTATTAGAAGGGGAGAGTTGTAACATCTTGAATCCCGGGTTAGTAGTTCGGGTCAACTCGAGATCCAAAATTGAGCCCAAAAGACTTTATAAATTAGTTGAACCAAGTTTAGTGTTAGTGGACTTGAGTTGAGGCCCAAGGGAATTGTGGTTAAGTGATAAGAGTTTTATGATTTAGAATTTGGAGGATTAATAATGTAGTTTGCCCATAGTTAAAACTAAAAGTTGAAAACCCATTCATTTTTATATCTTATACGTGAACAACCCCCATTACCTCCTCACCAAATACATCTTTTTTTCTTCCATAATTCCTTTCTTTCTTCTTCCTTCCAAGTTGATATATTAAGAGTTGTAAATATATTAAGAGTTTTAAGTGTGTGGTTGTTAAGCTAAGGTGAGAATGTTTTTCTCCATCATTCAAGCTTTATTTCAAGCTCCATTTTGTGAGTTTTTGATTTTGTTTTCAAAATGAGCTTTTCTTGAAGGTAGAGTGACTCCTAGTTGATTCAATAGGCGTTTTAGTAGCCAAGGCAATAAGGTTAACACATTTATAGCTTTCTCATACCAAGTGTAGATCATTGGAAGTTAAGATGTGTTAGAAAGTTAAATTTAAAGCATGTTTAGCAATTTCCATAGTAGATTGTTTCGTTTGATGTTATAACCATGTTAATAAGCCTCTATTATGACCCATGTTGATCAAATAAAACTTTTAAGCATGTTTGGGGACCTCACTAAAGTCTTTGGGATTGAGAAATAGAGTTTTTCATACTTGTTTTATGACTTCTGCAAGTAGAGTATCGATACTATAAGGATAATATCGATACTTGTTCTTTGTTTTGGGCAAATTCGCGAGTTTATGCGTAAGATTATCGAAACTGGAAAGAACATAATGTTTAAAAGTATTGGTAATTATATAAAGTATCGAAACTTTTACAGGAGTATCGATACTCTTGGGCTAATATCGATACTTTCAGTCTGTTTTGGGCAAAATGACAGTTTTTAAGGGAATTAGACTCGAGGTACCCCAATACATCTTTTATCATCAAATAAGACTACAAGTGAGAACGATAAGAAAGTTTAATTCAAATGTATAAACAAGAATAGAGTAAGATCAAATAAAACTAGCATTGTTTGATGTTCGGGAAAACGATCAGGACACCCGAGTTCCTTTAGAAAAAATAGCAGAGTCGAAAGTATATATTAAGTCCGGATATATCCTTAGGGAGTGCGCAAGGTACTTTAAGTTGATTAGTTTGGGTGCAAAGCCCGACACTCAAGGAGTATGCTAGTTGAAAGTGTGGTATCTGATGCAGAGATTCTGGAGGCTACATTCTCAGTAGACTAGAGGGTGTGTAAGCTCCGAGATGCATAACCCTCAGCCGCACCATGATGTCTACCATAGAGTAGAGAGTGGGTATACAAATATACTCACTAAAGCAATACAAAATAGATCAATATACCGGATAGAAAAGCAGTAGACTTGAATGTTTAAGCCTTTCAATGAATTACAATTAGTATATTTTAGCTGTTAGTGCGTCACTGAGCTAGTTAGCTCAGCCTTGGGATGTTTTCATGGGCAGGTTAATAGATCAAGCAGTTGGGAAGCAGTAGATAGACCAATGTTCAGACCAGTCCAGTGTAAATAGGATGTACGTCTCAGCGTTTTTATTTGGGCATGTATATTTGTAAACATTATTGTCCAGTTGAGTCGTAGATCCAGTCAAGTTGGTCTGTAATATTTTTGAAGTGTAAATATTTTATTTTAGATCTCTTCAGTGAAAAGATTTTTTTAATATATTTCAATTTTTTTTATAATCGTTATTAAAGCATGAGAAAGTAAGTTTAAAGTTGATTTGTCATTTCGGTGGTTTCGTGTAGCCTCTTAAATCAGTGACTGTGTGTCGTACCGATGTAGGGTGTTACAGATCTCGTATTTTTAGGTATGCTCAACTAAGGATCAACGTTGTCGAATTTAATATATTTAAATATATTTTCAAGAATATACCTCTTTATTTGAATAAAATTGAAAAATCGATTGTTTTAAAAAGTTAAACATTATCCGAATAGATTAAAAATTATCAAAGTATTATACTGTTAGTTTGATGCGTTAAATCTTAGATAGCTTTTGAAAAATCATATCATTATTTGAAGAAATTATTAGATACATCCTTACTATCGTATTACTGTCTTAAAATTTAAAAGATAAATTTATTTATACTTCGAATAACTTGAGAAATGATATATTTTTTCGGTTGTTTTACTGTTAGAGCTCCCATAATACTTTTTTTCTCTAAGATTCTCAATTTTCAAATTTTTAGTAAAAAGTAATACTTCCACTTTTCATTATATTTCAGCTTCCAACTATGAAACTTTTTTTCTTGAAATGTATTGAAAGAAATAAAATATTGTATGATTTTATTAGGAAAAGCTATGGTTTTTGGGTAGACAACGAAGCAGCATTGAGAACCTGAAATAAAATTAAATATTGTATGGTTTATTAGAAGGATCATATCGTACATGATAATAAAATTTTATCTAATACAAGTCAAGCTCAAATTATAATATTAATTGATTTCAATTTAATTGATTTTTTTAAAATCATATCGGATATATATATATATATATCATGCAAAGTTGAGAGTTTCAACTCGAATTTAAAATTAATCAACTAATTATTAATAGTTTCAAATTATTTAAGTTATTTGAATTATATTTTATAAATTGATTTAAATTTAATTTTTTTAAAATCGAATCAAATATATAGACGTATAAGTCGAGCCAATTCAAATTAATTTTTTTATCATTATATTAATAAAAAAATATTTTTTCAAGTTAATGGAGTTTTACTGATACTAGTTGAAAAGGTTTGCTTGCTAATTGGCAACTTGGCTTTTGAAATGGACCCACATTCACAACCTTGGCGCCACCCATCAAATGTATTGGCCACACAATCTTTGTTCCCCCTCTTCCCTTAGACCTCTCCGCTCACCGGCTGCAAATTCATATCCTCATAGGATAAGCCTCCACTTTGTTCAACAATTCAGCCTCTCCAAACCCTTCCTTTTTGCCTCACAAATAAACGAAAAAAAAGATCCATCTTATACTCCTTCGAATTGAAGGCTATATACCATTACCAGATTGTTTTTATCATCTAGAAACTGAACCAGTTAAATCCCAGACACGAAAGCTTCCACATTTTTCTTTGAGGAAAACAAACAATTTGCGATAAACCCAGATTCCAGATAGCATTTTTGTATCTCAAACAGTTACTAAAGTTCCAATTTTTGTTTCTTTTGACTTGTTTGAAGCTAACCCAGATAGCATTTGCTATCTAACTGAAAAGCGTGGTACAATTTGCTACTTGCTGTGATTCTCAATTTGCATTCTTAAAATCTGCATGAGTTTAGAAGAAATCAAAAGTGATTATTGGTGCTTCGAATTCTGGACTGATAAGAAGTTGAATACGCAACAGCCAAAGCTAGCATGGCAATGGTCGCGGTTTCAAACTCTCAGCTATCTTTCAATTTGTTTAACTTCTCTGTTACCAGAAGAGAAGCCTCTATATCGAGACAAGCTGCTTGTGGAATTCGCCATCGCTTCTCTTCTAGCCGACGGTTGAATCTCAACTCCCCTCCCAGTACTACTCATAGGTAACTGTTTAGTTGGTTTCTCTAAGTTTAATTTGGTAATGCAAATATGCAATGTCTTATTGCATTAAGGACTTGTGATTCAAAGTTGAATTAGTATGCAATTTGTTCTGAAGAAAAAACTAATTTTAGTATTGGAGATATCTGAATGAGTCAGCTAACAATTTATTTTTTCTGTTTAGTCATAGTTTTGACAGCTTTAAATCGAGATGTTCGATAATAAATACTGATGTTCACTTCAACTATGTGGCTACCGATGATGAGGATTTATCAGCCAAAAATAGTGATTGTTTTTGTACAACTCCAATACTTCAGCTTACATCTGATGTTCTTCCGACTGAATCTTTGAGTATACTAACAGGGGATACTTATGTAGATAGTCTCTTGACAGCACTCCCAGTATGTTCCACTTTGTATATCAGTTTATTCTCGACTCGGGTTTTATATCCTCTAACATTTTCCTTTTTTTCTATTCGTTTTCTTGTTTAGGTACTATCAGAGGAGGAGCAGAAGGCTCTTTATGCAACTCCGGCACACCCACTGGCATTATATGGTAAGACATTCTATTTTAATTTATCAATGCATAGTAGAATAATCTTAAAGACGTTCATATTACTAAGCTGTGGTATTATCAGCTGCTAACTTTAAGGACATTCATATTTCAGCATTTTATGCAAGCTGTCTGGCTGGGAATGTAGTGGAACAACTTTGGAATTTTGCTTGGCCTTCTGCTCTTGCGTTGCTTCATCCAAGCCTTCTACCAGTGGCCGTCATGGGATTCTTCACTAAGGTATAGATGAGACTACCAGCTTAAGTTCACTACCATGACTGGATAATGGAATATTTTCTAACAGAATTTATGTTAATAGTTTATTATCATCATTGGAGGCCCTTTGGTTGGAAAACTTATGGATCATTCTCCAAGAGTACCTTCATATATCTTTTTGAATGTTGTTCAGGTACTACAAATAACATTTTTTGTGGTTCAAGATCAATGTAAAATCAACAGTCCTAATTAGTTTTCTAAATTTATTGGCATCTTCCAGGCTTCTGCTCAATTGTTGTCAGCGGCAATGATAATTCATGCTCATAGTGTTTCTTCTACTTCTGCCTCATCTATTCTTCTACGTCCTTGGTTTGCTATGCTAGTCTTAGCAGGAGCTATTGAGAGGCTATCTGGAGTAGCACTGGGGGTTGCTATGGAGCGTGACTGGGTTGTGCTGGTATTACTCTATTCTGCGCATTTTGGTTGTTTTCTTCACAGGAAATATTGATCATCCATCTCTAGGAAAGTGGACTGTGGATTAAACTAGAATTCTTGTGTTTGCAGTTAGCTGGAATTAGTAGACCAATTGCACTGGCACAAGCTAATGCTGTTCTCAATCGAATAGACCTGCTCTGCGAGGTATTTGATAACCTTGAGATCTTATATATTTTGGAAACATTGGTCTATGGAGTTATCTTGTTGGTTCAAGCCATCATGGTTCTTTGTTTAATTGTAATACATAGAGCATGAATCCTAAATAAATGCTGGGAATTTTATAAGCTTGCAGTTATTAGCAGTCAAGTTATGGAAGAAATTTTCTGAATGAGAGATTCATTATCATCCAAAATTGCAGATAGCTGGCACTTCATTATTTGGAATTCTTCTCTCTAGATATGATCCAGTAACGTGCTTAAAGTTTGCTGCTGGGTTGATGATGTGGTCATTACCTGTTATGGTAGTTGGTTCTATTCTTGTTCTGATTATCTATATCATTTGGAGAAAGGATCTACTTCCTCTTTCTAATTTCTAACAACATTCTTCAGATTGCTCTGACATGGTTAACAAACAAACTTTCTACTGGAGTTCTTGACCGTGCCAAGTGTTCACAATCCTGTTGCATATCATCTGATGGAGGGCCTCTTCCAGATGTTGATAACTTCTGTAAAAACTCGTTCATCTGATTACTATTCAAATCCTGACTTCCTTCTTGCTCTATTTAGCGATTGCATCTTTTCCAAAAATCGATTTATGCTTGACATATAAGTTATTCTGTTTTTGTGGATGGCCAGTTAATACAGGTTTGGAAGCCATCAAGCTTGGCTGGAGAGAATACATACAGCAGCCAGTTCTTCCTGCGAGCCTAGCATATGTGCTCCTATACTTCAATGTTGTTCTCACTCCAGGAAGTTTAATGACGGCGTCTTTAACTCAGCGTGGTATTTTTCTATCTCTTTAGATGCAACTCTCCTGATTGTTTATAGTTTCGACCGAATCTTGAGGAGAGTTTGCCAGTTTAATGACGACGTCTTTAACTCAGCGTGGTATTTTTCTATCTATTTAGATGCAACTCTCCTGATTGTTTAATGAGGGCTTACATATTTAGAAGACATGCTAATAGAGTTTTTGTCTAAATGTGATTTCTTAAAGCATGGCATGCAGTGACATGCCTGAAGTCGCTCCATGCCAATAGTTTATTGTAAATTACAGTCTTTTTTCTTCATTTGCTAGATTGCTCCTGATTACTTGAATGGGTTCTATATTTAAGTTGAGAAAAATAGCCTTGTATTATTGCAGAAATTCATTTTTGACTCCAATGTGCTATGTGGTTTTGTCCAACAGGTTTAAATCCATCTATTATTGGGGGGTTTAGTGGATTATGTGCTTTCATGGGTGTTGCTGCAACCTTCATATCTGCAACTTTGGTCGAGAGATTCGGCATTTTAAAGGTTGGTTCTTTTGTTAGGTTTTGCCAGAAGGAATTTTCTATTTTTGGGGCAGATCTAACGGCCATTTTTTTCTTCAAACAGGCTGGGGCAATCGGATTAATTTTTCAGGCTTCACTTCTCACCATAGCCGTTGCTGTTTGCCAGAGTGCATCCCTTGCCCACAGGAGTCCCCTTCTTGTCTTCTTATGTTTGATTGTAAGAACAATTTTTAACTTCCATGTTTCTTCATGGACTACTTTGACTTTTAGCATAACCTGAACAGCCTTGTGGCGAACTGGGAATCTAGAAAGGACGACTCAATCTGGCGTAGAGCATTGTCATGGTTGGAGTTCTAACCAAAATTTAGACTCAGTGACACAGCCGTATATCTTAGTTATCCACTAATAGCACCATAAAAAGACTAATAGAAAAGATCTCCTAAAGGTCTAAACTTTTTATTTCGGCAGTATCGGAATCTACTGCAACCATCAGATCCATTTTGATATCTCTAACAAGTTAATGGCTGCTCTATTGAAGGCCAGGAAATCAGGCTTAACATAAACATGGTACCTTAACCATCGTCATCTCTTGTATGCAGGTATTATCAAGGTTGGGACATATGTCATATGATATTGCCGTGGCACAGATTCTGCAAACAGGAATCCCATCATCCAAAGCAAATCTTATTGGAACAACTGAGATTTCTGTTGCAAGTTTAGCCGAGTTACTGATGTTGGGAGTCGCAATAATTGCAAATGAAGGTTCGCATTTCGGGTTTCTGGCAATGCTGTCATTGTTGTCGGTAGTTGGAGCCGCATGGATATTCTGCCGGTGGTTGTCGAATCCTACAGATGAACAAAGAACCCTTTTCTCTTTTGATCCACAATTTTAGTTAGAGAGTTTCCATTGTTTTTTCTCGGGTTTACATATCTATTCAATTGTCTTCTCTCATATTTTTCTAAAGTCATCAACAGCAAAATGCCGTGGAAAAGTAATGAGATGATTTATTACAGTCTAAAACATCGTTCATATCCAATTTACATACTGAGATGCCCGCTATATATAGTTTGATCCAACATGGTTCTATGATTTTATGGTCGAAAGATGAGCAGCTGTTTTTTATCTTTCACCCTTTATCAATTAAACTTCGGTTCACGAAAAAAATGGCTCTTTTACTAGCCATTGCAATTCATCATTAATGGATAACAACATTAGGAGCTTAAGAAATAAAAAACAGTAAAAAAGTCGCATTAATCAAATGATAATCAGCTTCAATCTCATAAGTTCCAACCAGCCATAAAACATGCAACAAACTCACTTCCATCTCTGTTTAATGTTCTTTTGATATAACTGCGTAGAAATTCCAGAAGGGATGGAATGTTTGCTACAGCTACCATGATCCTACAGCACCCTGTGTGGGGTTCTCAAAAGCAGAGAATTCCCAGTAGGTCTTCAATGAATATGGCTGGGAAATTGTCATGCCTTCTTCAGTGATCTTCGCGATCTGCAATCAATAGATTTCAAGTACGCAAAACATCAATATTGATAGAATTTTGCCTCAGATTGTCAAGTAAAGGTTTATCAACTAATAGACTTGATTAAGAGCCATCCTGAGAAATACAAAACCTGGGTTGAATATACAAAAATATAACAGGATGTAGCAAATGCCAGTTAGTCCAAGAATAGTAATATCCATCGAGTCATTGAGACAGACTTATTTTTCTAGAAATAGCTCTCAAATAGCATGGATTGCAATTTTTTATTTTAAGGAGTCAAAACATTAAAAGAGAAAAGATCAAACCTGAAGCTTGTTAATGGCTGATCTATCACGATAGAGGAGAACACGCATGCACTTCTCCAGTAGTCTAACACCATCTTCAAAGCTCAAGTTCTCATGCCACTCCTGACGAAGAATTGGCCGTGCAAGGTGATTTCCAAACCCAGTTGCAACATGATTGTCCTCAAAGTTTACACCAATCATACTGACCTGATGAATCACAATTAGAAAAATGGTCAGTTAAAATCTTAAAACCGCAAGTGGCTCATTCTGAATATTAGGATGATAAAAACTTTGAACCTACCGTTCCAAGATACTTTTGTCCATTTTTAACTCCACCAAGCACAAGGGAGTTCCACAATGGATTGAACTTGTTACGCCTGTTATACATGACCCGAGTCAAGTAATTGTGCACCTCTTTAGGCCCCAAAGAGTTGCCATCATCCCACATATTGTCATACAAGCTACAATAACCAAACATCAAATGCAACAATCTTATATCAGGAACTCAGGATGTTAAGAACAATACCCATATGAAAATTCAGGCCTCGTGAAAGAAGAAAAAAAAAGAATTCATTGCAATCCGGGTGACTCAGTCAAGTCTTACATAAGCTCATCAAGATAACGCAAAATCTCCTGGAAATCACTGATTTCTCCACTTGCACCTAGAAGAGAATGCTTGCCAATAGGCTTCATTCGCTCCACATTCTTGTACCTCAGAGTGGACCCATAAGAACCTGTCAATTAAAAGGATTCCGGCATAAAACAAGTGGATTGTAGCAAAAGAAGGGACCAATCAGTTAGGCATTGAGTATCAACTGAGGGAATATTAGCTTTAGAGAAAAGCTAGGGTACTTGAAACATCAGACTTCCAGCAGAAAACATGAGAAGAAGAGGGACGAGGACGGCGAGTGAAAATAAAAAGGTGCAAAGCATGCATGGCAAATGAACTATAAGCAAAATGTATTTTCCTAGCATGTGCATAACTTGTTTTAGTGGAAATCACAATATATAAGGAATAAGGACTTCAATGTGAACGAGCATGATGTTTTTTTTTTTTGATAAGAATTGCAGGCCTCTTTAAAAACCCCCTTCTTGATTAAAGGAGCTTGTAGAGAAGCTCCCTAATCAGTGGAAGGAGGAAAAGAGTGCCTTAGAATTTCATTCATAACTGAAATTACATAAGAAACAGCCATACAAACACTCCCTCAAAAACAGAAAAACATAAAACACCCCCAAACCACCAAAAACACCAACACTGACTTTGGGTAAAACCAATTTAGAGACTGCAGCAGCCTCCGATTGGTTTACCCTTTACAATAATATTACAAAGAATCAACCACCACAAAGCCCATCAAAAAAGCACAAGACATGCAAGAATTCTGTTACAATTAACCAATCCCCTGCTTAGCTAGCCTGTCAGCCTCCAAATTACAGCCCCTAGGAATCCATCTAAGGACGACCCCCTTGGCCTTAATAATGGCTTCAATTTCCTCCACCAGATCACTAAAAAAAGAAGAGGCAGGTTGCAGATTTAAAATCCAGTCCACTGCACATTTGCAGTCGCTCTCAATAATAAGTCTTCCCTTGTTGGCCCAATTTGAGGAATAGAAAAAATTCAAACCTTCCTTGATAGCTTTCAGTTCAGTCAAAATAGGCAAACCAGGCCCTACTGCAGAAGAGACGGAAGCTAGAGACCCGCTGGAAGAGTCTCTCAAAACACCACCAATACCCCCTTGCATTCCATCTCCAGTCACTGCTCCATCAACATTGAGTTTAAACATATCTGCTGGAGGAGGAGACCAGCCAATAACCTTCTTAGGACCAGTAGAAATGAGAAAAGAATCTGCCCTCGTAGGATCCCCTACTAAAAGGTCTGTCTAAATCCTAACCGACGGATGTTTTGCTAAAAACCATTTCGCCAACCTAAATCTAGAGATAAAATACAGAACTGAACTATCACATTTTCCATTTTCAAAGACAACCAGATTTCTTACTTTCCAAATTGACCAGAAAATAACAGAACCTCCAAATAATAGAATTATGCCTAAGATTGGACCATGAGCAGAGAAAGGAGGAAGGATCTTGATGTAGAGCAGTAGAAATATCCCATAACCTTAGAAATTGACTCCACAAACCCGAAGCAACAAAACACGTGAAGAACATATGGGATATATTTTCATCCTGGGAATTACATAGTGGACACAGTACATCCGTTAGAGGGATCCCTCTTTTCTTCAATTCCACTCTAACTGCTAGTTTCTGATGGCAAATCTGCCATAAGAATGTTTGAACTCTAGGCGGAGCCAAACCATCCCAAACCCACTTCTTCCACTCAAAACTCCCTTCAGAACTATCATATAACGACAGTCTACAAGCTTTGACCGAGAACATGCCATCCCCCTTACCCGACCACCCTAGGAAATCATCGACAGAACATGACAGCTTAATCTTGTCAACCAACAACATTAGATCGATCCACTGGTCTAATTCCCAATCACACAAATTCCTTCTAAGTTGAATATTCCAAACCCAAACATTATCTACATATCCACCAAACTCAGAGACCTTCCCCCGTTTATTTGTAGACAAAGCAAAAATTCTAGGAAATTGATGAGATAAAGGCAGATTAGTGATCCAAACATCAGTCCAGAATGCAATCCCAATTCCATTTCTCTCTAAGCAACAATGCAAGGTGCCTCAACAAAATCTCTTCAACCTCCATGAGGGGAATTACATTACGCACTTTACACATTGTTCTTGACAGCAGACGAGATCTAAAATGAAATCCTAATGAAGTTATTTATACAAATGATGCTACAATTAAACAAACCTAGATTGTCTCCATGTTCTAACCTACAATATGGATCCTATATGAAGTATTGATCATTAAGAGTATACCATCAAACTACAACCAATGGTATTACCTTAACTACAATTCTTAGGCTACTTAGTCATACCCAAATCCTCTAATGGAACCCTCTACTTAAAAAAATACATCCAGCATCGAAGAGTTGAAAAATATCATTCCAAAATTCACATTTGTATTACAATCCAAAAAACCAAAGGGAAACAACTTTGGATCAAGGTTGCTTCAAGCTAACGGATATATTTTAAACCCTAAAACACCCCAAAAGGTCCCAAAAATTCTCTTTATTTTTCACTTGCATTCCTTTCCAAGAATATATCTACTTCAAATAACAAAACCTATCCAAACAAATAAAAATACATAAGAAAAATAAAATGCTTATGAGAGCGTATGAACTGACCTCCCATATCAGCAGCCATCAAAATCCCATCTTTATACTTCAAAGCCACAACTGATGTTCCAGTAACATATGGGTACCTATCAATTTAAAAAAAAAAAAGAGAGAGAATTTTCAGATACCCAACACCTGAAGAAAACCCTAGTTCAATTGAAATCAAATAAATAACATACAGAGTCCTTTGAAAGTCAACTTCAGGGCCGAGCAAGCTATTTTCAGGTTGCTTTGAAGCCATGAACTGCATTAGAAAAAAAATAAAAACGAAAAGAAAAAAAAAGAGTAAAAATTTTTGCTTTCATTTAAGTGGGAACTGTTAGACTAAGAAAACAAAAGCGGGTATTCAAATATAATTAACGGAATAACTTACATTCATTCTGAATTAAGGGTATAGATAAATCAATTGAAGAAGTAGTAGAACGGTAGAGATGATCTGATGCTATATAATAAGTTTTCGTTTTCCCTTCTCCAAGAAACTCACTTTACGGAAACAGGCCCTGATCCATTTGTATCCATTTTCTGATTGAAATAATAATATGATTTTATATTAATAATTCATATTTTATTATTAAATGTAAACATTTTAAACCATTTAAATTATATTTTGATGGAATCTGATTAATAGAAAATAAAAAAAATCTTTTAAGTTTTTTCCGCTTGGATAGAACTAATCAAAATAGACAAATTATCATATAAACATCATTAAAAGAATTAAGTGGTAATTAATAATTTTTATAAAGTAAATGTAACCTCCAGACCCGTCTTAGAAATTACAATTAAATCATGGTAGTCACATTAATAACAAAAAGAGTTTACGAATGAAACATGTTTAATAATAGGATGGAGATGTTATCCTTCGTAAAGAATCCCTAGTTAACCTTCAAAGATGAACTAATAGATGTTGCCCGTAGTTGAAGAATCAAGCTTACGGGTCTAGACTCAATCAAAGAACGACATGGAAGATGGATTACATTATTGTTGCAATCTAGAGTTTTGAATGGGGAACAAAGTTGATAGAAAATTAAAAAAAGGAAACAAGAATACGATCAAGACAATAAA